TCCCGGCAATCGAGATCAGCAGAGGAGTCCCTCCTCTTGGTCTGATTGCCAGCACAAGCACAGCTGATGGGGACACGGGAGAGGGCCTTCTCTGTGGCAGTTTCCAAGCTATTGAACACTCTCTCTTAGGAGATCAGGATCGCCCCTTCCCTTTTATCCTTTCATTAAAAGATAGTTAAATCATATATTGTTTAATTTATATTTTAATATTTAACTTATTGTGTTTAAATTGTGTGAATTTTAATGAGAGCCACTTTGGGTCCCTTTTTGGGAGAAATGCAGCATATAAATAAAACTAATAATAACATCACATCACATGTTGTGAACACTCTGGAGAGGGGATTAATTACAACTTTTCTCATTGAGATGTTTACAGAAATTGACATAGACAGGCAGTGAAGATGACTGTTTGGCCTAATTCAGATAACCCTTAAACAATAACTGATAAAATTAGACTTATCCTCCTTGCAGGAGAGACAAGTGTCTCCATTACAGACATCAGCAATCCTATTGCTATACTGCTACCCTAGACAATATTCCTACTGCTGACCTGTTACAGAATCGGGGCACCCTATCAGCCCTCATTTCCACAGAGAAGGCTGTTGGCAATCTGGCCTGAATAATAAGTTCTGAACAGAGATTGGCCCTCTCATTGTCCACAGTAAAGTATGTCCCAAGGAGAAATCTCTGTTTGAAACGTTTCATTGTATGTAAGCCAAATTGGTCTAAGACTTGTACTGAAAGTAGTTTCAAAGAATAATTCCAAGATATTTGTTAGTGCAGGAGATATCCTTGAAATAGTCATTATACCTGGAATGATTATTAAACACAACTGAACTACCCTTATGTTGTCCTTTACGTCTGAGCATATTATATTTAAAGTTCCTCAGAAAGGAACTTGTGGAAATGGCAAAAGGACAGCAGGTTAAAAGGTAAAGTTTTAAGCAGATTAACTGTAAATACCAGGAAAGAATGATTCATATATCATACTAGGCACTTCAAGGACCACCTAATTATGCAGGTCCTTTATGGCTGGTGGGTGAATGGCATGACACATCACTTCAAAACACTTTTCTCTGGGGTGAAGGCACATGGACCAATGACCTTAGAAGTGACCTGATTTTATAAATTCATTTGAGTTCTAGAAAAGAAATACATTAGAATTTCTCATTCAATGGCATTTTCCTTCTAGCCTCCTGGTAGAAAATTGAGTGCATAGATTATTTTCTAGGAGACTCAGTTTTTGAGGTGCATTCTCAGTCTCAGTTTTTTGGCCCTAAAATTCAAGAAAGGGGATGCTGCATCTCTTTTGTCAGTTCATCCTGACATACTGAAGATCACCCCAGAGTTCTCCTGGAAGGTCTTAATTTAGTCTTTCTCTCACTATTGCATTAGCAAACAACGTTCCATTTCCTCTTAGTAATGTACTTACTTCTCACTTTGTATTGTAGCCTTTAGCATGCAAACACTCCCAAAAGACTCCGGGAAACAGACCCTTGGTAGTGTTAGTTCATTGATTTTTAAATTGATCACAGTGTCTCCACAGTGTCTATCATTCACAGATACACAGTGTTTTGCAAATCCTGTGGAAGGGTTTCCTCTAGAGATGGGGACAAATTTTAAAAAACGGCAATTCTTTTTTATCCATTATTTGTCAAGGTTAATGGATCAATGAATACTAATATACGAATATTCTTTGATGAATCAATGGATCAATCTGTCGATTTGCCTGCATTTCAAATGGCTATAACACTAGCCTTTGATGACTTAGAGGCACCAAATGTGCAGGAAAGCTTCCTTAGGTGCTTTTCTACAAGTCCTGAACATTGGATCACAGACCCCTAAGTTATATATTCACAGAGAGGACCCCCCTGGAAAGCTCCGCCCAGGTATTTAGAGAATCCAGAATCACAACGGAGCTTCCTATGTCTTTTCCCAACAAGCTTGCCAACTTTGGTGAAGACTGGATATCGGAACTCTGAGTTATTCACCCACAAATTGGGTTCCCCCCCCCAGGAGAGTTTACCACATGACACAGAAGCCCATGGCATTGAACGACTTATATTTAGCCCCAGCAGAATGAAAGGTCCCTTTGGCAGAGGCACGCATGAGGCACTGAGTTTGTCTTCAGCTCAGCACATTATATTTGCTTGTGAAGTAGCATAGCAGGCTTTTTGGCTCTGTCAGGCACTGAAGAAGTTGGCAGCAGGAAAACAGGCTCTTTTGGCCCCATTAGACATTGAGGGAAAAGGCAGCAGGAAAGCAAGCTTTTTTGGCTGCATGAGGCACTGAGGTAGTTGGCAGCAGCAAAGTACTGTGTCTTGCTGCATTGGGTACTAAGGCACATGGCAGCAGCAAAGTGGCATGTGCTGCCCCATCAGTTAATCTAATGGTGGTTAATTAATGGGGCTGCAGGGCTTTTAGAGCCGGATCAGGACCGCAAACTGAAGCCATGTGATGGGGCGATGGGGTAACGCCTGAACAGGCTTGGGTGGGGCTCAGCCCGGCTCTCTTGGCACGGGGATGCCTAGACAGGCTTTGGGTGGGGCATGGACAGGCCTGGTTGGGGATTAGCAAAAGGTGGCCATGGAGGTGTGTTGTTTTTGAAAACAAAAGGAGGCAAGCAACACTTATTAGCAGCAGCAATAACACCATCAGATGAATTTCTTCACCTCATAGGGAAGGTACTACTAATGGCGTTGCCGTTCTGTGCTTAGTCATGCTCACCACATGCGGACGTTGGCAGCAGTAGCGTAGACTGTGTTGGCAACAAAGTGTTGGCACAGTGTTGCCAACTGTGTGTTGCCCACAAAGATAGCCCTCAGAGGTTTTGGGGGGCTTGGAATGTCCGGCTCGCTTGGCATGGGTTGATAAACCAGATCAGGTCTGCAATCTGAAGCCGTGCAACGGGGCAATGCCTGGACAGGCTTGGATGGAGCAGAGTGTGTTGCCGTGTCAAGCACCGAGGTAGTTGGCTCCAAAGTAGGCAGGAAAGCATGTCTTAATAGGCATTGGGCACCGAGGCAATTGGCAGCAAAGTAGGCTTTGCACATTGGGTGTGTAGTGGCAGAAATCTTCAACACTGATGAACAAGAGGGTGGTATTTGCCATCAAGATGGCATATGAAACACAAGCCTCCAGAAAGAATTACTTATTTAGTCCAGTATGCTGTTTTTGACTACCAGGTCAGGTGCTGAGCTGGAACCTGTTTGAAAGCATGCAACTGCAAGTGGATAACTAGGCACCACCTCGGTGGTAAGGTACTAGTAACGGCGGTCCGTCAGGCACTGAGGTACTTGGCAGCCTGAAAGCAGGCTTTTGGGCCCCATCGGGGCACTGAGGTAAGTTGGCAGCAGCAAAGTAGAGTGTATTGTCCCATTGGGCACTCAGGCACATGGCAGCAGGAAAGCAGGCTCTTTTGGCCCCTTCAGGCATTGAGGTAGTTGGTAGCAGCAAAGTACCGTGTCTTGCCCCATTGGGCACTGAAGCACATGGCAGCAGCAAAGTAGAGTGTGTTGGCCCATCAGGCACTAAGGCACATGGCAGCAGGAAAGCAGGCTCTTTTGGCCCCATCAGGCACTGAGGGAAAAGGCAGCAGGAAAGCAGGCTTTTTTTGGCCGCATCGAGGCACTGAGGCAAAAGGCAGCTGCAGAAGACTCAGGTCTTCTTCTTCTATAACATCACATTTGCCTGCAAAGTTATTTAAGTTTGTCCCCAGGAGGCAACTGAGGTTGTCAAAGCAGCAGCAACAGCAGGAGAACAGGGTCTGACTGCAAGGTGCTAGTAACGGTGCTTAATTAGGGTGGCTGCTGGGCTTCTCAAGCGGAAGTTCAGCAGTTTGAATCCATGCAGTGGGGTGATCTGAGCTCTTGTCCCTTCTTCCTGCTTCTGCCTACCTACTGAGTTAAGCTGCTGCTGAGCCACTAGGCTTGTTGATCGGAAGGTCAGCAGTTTGAATCCGTGAGCTCCCGTGGCTTGTCCCAGATTCTGCCAAGCTATTCAGGCAGTAGCCCGAGTGAACTTTGGAGCACAGTGTTGGCATGGGACAGCCGGACAAGCATTGGGGCCCTCTTGGCATGGGGATGCCCAGACAGGCTGGGTGGGCAGAGGAAAAGGAAGAGGCAAAAGGAAGCAAGCCTTCAGCTCAAAGGTAGTTGCTTGCCCCCAAGAGGTAAGTGGGGTTGCACAACTGCAGCAACAACAGCAGATGAATAGGGACCACGGTGCTACGAACGTAATGGTGGTTAATCCATGGGGGCGTTGGTGAGCTGCGCTCCCATAGTTTGTTCCAAGTTCTGCCTACCTACTAAAGCTGTAGAATAGTTAGGAAGCTGGAATGAACAGTGTAGTGTTCTCTATTTAGTTGATCTATAGTTCTTGTTGTATAATGTAATGACTTTTGAATATTCATGTTGCTGAAAGGCGGAGCTGAGACAGATACTATAAGAGGCGGAGCCTGAGTCAGTAAGAGTCAGAGTGTGAGATGAAGTGAGTTTGAGTCAGATTGAGTCTCTGAGAGTAGAGTCAGGGTGTGCAAGAGAATGCATAGTTTGGGGAATTTAGATGTGATTACCAAAAAGCTGTAAGATATTCATGAATCAATCTATGTATTCAATAAATCAAAGTTTTATTTAAAAGAACTTGAAGTGTGGACCTGAATCTTTCTGAAGTAAATGGTGATTTAGAGATCACCTGGTGGCAGCGAGTGTAAAGAGGGAGGTTTGTTTGCCTTCGTGTGATCTGGGGCTTGAAGGTCAAGCAAAGGGGCATGAGGGTGGACGCAACAAACAGTCTGTCAGTTTTAGGTGGGCCTGAGACAGGCCCTCTTTGGCACAGGGGATGCCCAGACAGGCTTGGAGAGGGGGGCTTGAGACAGGCCTGGTTGGCACTTGGATGACCAGACAGTCTTGAAAGGAGACTCCTGCCTTCTTTGAGAACATCACATTTGCCTGCATAGTGAAGTTTGCCCCCAGGAGGCAACTGAGGTATATATTTTGCTGTAGTATATATTTTGCTGTAGAAGCATTTTGGTCACCATTATTTTCACAGTAGAGGATGCTGTGACCATTGACAGGACAGAATGGCAAGCTTATTTTATTATGAAAAAAAGATATTGGGTATATATTTGAAAGGTTGTCATATAGAGGAGGCAGAATCTGTTCTTGATTATCCCTGAGTGCAAGACATACAACAATGGGCTCAAGTTACAGGAAGCCAGATTTCACTTGAATATCAGGAAAACCTAACTATTAGAGAAGTATGGCAATGGAACCAATTACCTTGAGAGGTGGTAGTCCTAGGCATGACTAAAATGAATAGTTGAGTACAAGCCTTATCTAGCTGTTGAATCCATGTCCTCAGGAAGTTACAGTGTGCCCCTTCCCAAGGAAGGGATGCGGAAGAAGACATTTGTCTTCATGGACTGAAGAAGCAGGATCCCTTGCTTACTTAAAAATAAATTATACCTCAAGATTACACCCAAAGCTTCCCTTTCCTGATTTTCACAGTGGGTGAACTGGGTTGGAGAAGAGAATTGGAATAAAAAAGGAAGGGCAGTAGTAGAGGCTCAAGTGGTTAGATGAGGCAAATGCTTGCTAACCATGGAATCCAGAAATGTGTGAGTATGGAGGGATTCCCTGCCAGATTCATATTCTCATGGTATATTGCCAAAACACCTCTTCATTTGTGGACACTCCCAGATTCATATCACCACTGAAGCTGTCTCACATCATATATATTTTACAAAATATATTTATATTTTACTTTTTCAGTATTATAGTGGTAAATTTTCACATGCAAACACTCATCACAACAGTCCCTGCAGCCACACACCTCAAGAAGAATCCCAAAATTATATATATAATTTGAGATCGCTTCAGTGGTGATATTGTTAGCCCTAACTTGTGTCTTCTTTCTCCAGCTGGGAACAGCTTTTTGGTACATTTCAGATTATTTACAACTTTGATCAGGTGAGCAAGAAGTTAATTTTGCCTTAATGTTATCTAATAATATCGAATAGTAACATCTAAGGTGGTAAACCACTTATTGCTTTGTTAATCATGCATGGAATGGGTGATGAATTTCACCCAGTGTGTATTCAATGACTGAAGGTTAGGAGCACTGCAGGTTGGCTTTCTTTTAGAAAGCAGCATAGGTTAATTAACTATGAGGGATAAAGAAAGAAAGTTATTAGGCAAAAGGTAAAGAGAAGAGTGAACAATAGAAAATGGATGCATTGGAAATATCTTGCCTGAATTGTTTTGAAGGTTAATAATGAGTAAGAGTGCGAGAAAAACTGAGGTGAAAAAGGAATTAATGTTCTCTTCATTATTCTCATGACTTACTAGTACAGCTTCATTAGCCAAGCCTGAGACACTGAGTCATTCCCAATAGTCCAGCTGGGAAAAAGAGTTCTTCTGGCATGGTTTTGGGAAAGAGACCTGCAGTATACACATACTGGGTCAAGGAGTAGCTGTAGCAGGGCAGCACATGCAAGTACTAATCAGGTGTTACAAGTAAGGACCCATAAATTATTGATGTTGATACATGCTTTCATATTGCTTCCAACTTACAACAATCCTAAGAATTAAGGATGTCCAAAAGACCTAGTATAAACAGTCCTAACCAGTTTCTGCAAACTCAATACTGAGGCTTCCTTTATTTTCTTAGTCCATCTCATCTTCTGTCTTCCTCTTTTCCTGTTATCCTCAACTTTTCCCAGCATTATTGTCTTTTCCAGTGAATCTTGCCTTCATGTGGTATCAAAGTACAATAGCCTTGGTTTAGTTATTCTTAACATTTAGACAGAATTCAGGCTTGATTTGATTCAGCTCCTATTTATTTGTCTTTCTGGTGGTCCATGATAACTGCATAACTGTCCTCCAATACCATATTTCAAATGAATAATTTTTCCCCATTAACTTTCTTTGCTGCCCAGCTTTCACATCTGTACAGAATAACTGGGGATATTATCACATGCATGATTTTTCTTTCTTTCTTAATGTTCACCTGCATTTTGCACTTTCTTCTTTCACTTTCTTTCAAGTCATTGCTGCTTTTTGCTAGTAATATGGCGTCAACTACATTTCTTACTGATGTTTCTTCCACCAATTTTTGCTTCTTCTTCATTGAACTTAATCCAGCTTTTTGTATGATATGTTCTGCATATAGATTGTAGATAAAGTTAAACTATACCATGTCTGTTTATTTAGCTAATGGGAAGCCATTCTGTTTCTTCATATTCTATAACCTAACAGTAGTTTCTTGTCCAAAGTCTAGCTTATTCATCAGAATTATCAAATGTTATAACTCCGCTCTTTCTTTTAGAACAATCCATACCTTTCAATGAACCATACAGTCAAAAGTTTTTATTATAAAACAAATTTTCTTCCAACATTTTTTATTTGCTCCAGTAGTCAGCATATATTTGCTGTATATCTAATGCTTCTTCCTTGTTAGAATTTGTTGAACAGTTGGCATTCCTCATTCCATATATAGTAAACATCTTGTTGAGAAACCTCACAAATCTTACAAGTGGAGGGGGGCAGTCTAACTCAACCTCCTCCATTTCCCTCCTGTGCATGAAGGCTGATAAAGTTCGAGGAGAGAGGAACAGTATTATCCGTAGAGGCTTTTTTACATGCCCATGATCCTGAAGAATAATGGTTCCAACTCATGTGGACACCTTGCACAGAGTTCCCCCTTATCAAAGTCATTGCCTTTTATGTTGGCAATGGAAGTAGGGATGGTGATGAAACTGAGGTGGAGGGGGCAGTGAAACTGCATAATGGAAAGAGCAGAGTCAGAACATCACCCTGTTAGAACACAGAAGTGATATGATTCCTCACACGTGAACAGGGCTAGTGTCATATCTTTGATGCCCCATTCATTCCCATTATGTCCAGTGTCATCTCCGCCACCATTGTCCAAGATTTTTTGAGGTATCATCATCTTTATCATCTTATAATTACAGAACTGGATGGAACCCTACGAATCATTGAGTCCAGCCTCTGTTAAGGAGGCAGAGTGGGGAAATCAAACTCCCAGCCTCTAGCTCTGCGGCCAGATACCCAAACCACTGAGTTATCTTATAGTTCTGTATGCTGGAATTATGACCTGAAAACATATTGAAGGGCCCAATATGTCTTCAGGTCATAATTCCAGGTATTAAGGATGAGTCAGAACTGAAGAATGTTCCCTTTCCACAGGCTTAGACTTCACAATGTATCTGAAGCACATCAGAATGTTCCCTTTCCACAGGCTTAGACTTTCACAATGTATCTGTCCAGTTATTTTTAAAGTTTAACTCATTACAAATTGTTTAGTATGGGTAACAGTGTACACAAGTAATCACAGTTGTCATATAGATCTCCTGTGAGTCTCTTTTCTGTTTTCCCTTCCATTTAACTAGTTATTGCTGCTGCTGTGACTCGTGCATTTAAAGCTGTTAAGACAGGGACTGTCATTTTGTTATTCATTTGTATCTGCTCTGTGCTGCACACCTTCTCTTCAATTATGAGTGTTGCCGATGCCATGAATACTAAATAGTTAGGAATCACAAGCAGTGGGTGGAATCCCAGCACTACCTCTTGATAAATTCTGTTGCAATGAATGGAACTGTGCAAGAGTCTGTTGGGTCACTTAATACACAATTTCTTTGCCACCCGATGACATAAATATTGAGAACTACAGGATACAGTGCACATATACATACAAGCTTTTGCATGTATGTCATATTTGCATGGGGCATTTCTTATACATGTGAATTGGTGTGGCTCATGGACTGAGACGGGGATGCCTCAACCCCACATTTGGGGAGGGTGCCTCTTGCCCCGATCACTGCTAAATATGGTATGAATCCACTGGGAAGATGTGTTTTTTTAAATAAATTACTGCATGGGTCAGATTTAGAAGAGGACAACCTGAAAACTTGCTGTGGACACTGAGTGTGATGCCTTCAGCAGACTATGATGAAAAAGCAGTGTTTTTTAAAACATATTTTCCTCAAAGTGCTATAGATTGCTTGGGCAACAACTAAAAACTATATAGATTACTGCTAAATCCTCCCAACCCATTTCTAACTTGATGTCATTCTAGATAAAATCAGTGAAAGACAGTTGAGCTTTAATGTTACCAAGCATTGCTAAGTACTAAAGACACTATAAATAATGGGGACGGGGGATGGGGGGGGAAGCTATAAGTTCTTTGGGGAAACCTTTAAGGTTTATCTCCCCTATGGCCAGCACTGTTGTTTGTCATGTTCATATTTATTGTTGTCATCGTTGTTATTCATAATAATAGAAGCAGCAGCTGTATAAAATTATACTATACACAATACCTAGCCTAGACAGAATTATTCAGGGTTTTATATATCATATGTTATATAGTAAATAGGCGGGGGGGAATGTGGCTTTCCAAATGCGTTGACCTGCAGCTCTCATCATCCTTCACCATTGGCTGTACAAGTTGGGGCTGCTGGAAGGTGCAATTGAACAATAAATGGGGTGGCACAAGTTCCTCACCTCTAGTTTAAAGAGAGAATACTGAGCTTTAATATAGAATGATAGAGTGTTCAAAGTGCTCACCATAATTCAATGTACTGTAGTTCATATAGCTGGTAACTAGACATGGGGATGAATAAAAAAGAATTGCAATATTAGTTTTAAAAGTAGTCTTCCATCTCTTTCTATGGCCTTCCCATTTTGCCTATGGGCCTGCTGATCAGCTGATCAGTGGGCCGATGGCAGCTAGCCAGCCCCACACCCAGCCTCTGGCTATCTAACGCCCCCCCCCCGACAAACTGACAAATCAATTTGTGCTTCGTCAGTTCATGGGGAGGAGCTTCATGCTTTGTCAACTTTGATGGATCACGAAGCAGGACGAATCGCCAAAATGGTGATTTGTCCCCATCTCTACTGGTAACCCAACAGGACAGAGGGGCAGGGACAAGATGGGGGAAAAACCCTTCAGGACAGAGGGGCAGGGACAAGATGGGGAAAAAACCCTTTGTCTGAGACTGCTTTGGAAGTTCATGGCAGAGATGAGATGCAAACCAGAGACTTCCTAATTTGCAGCTCATCTATTAAGCAAATCAATCCAGCATTGGACATCCATTTCTTCCCACATAATTTAGAAAGCTTGACCTGTAGCAGCTTCCTGTGCTTGCTCATTAAATACAGTGTTGTCTATGCTGGCTGACAGCAGCTATCTCTTAAATAATCAGATATCCTTCTGGTTACCAACTTCCTGATCTTTAGCTAGTGATCCCAGGACAAAATTCTGGGATCTTCAGTACGTAAACATGTGCCCTACCACTAAAGTACGGTTCATCATATGAGTAAAATGCTATTTCTTACCAAACCAGCATGTATACATCAACTAGGGAAATGGGATACCTCCCCCCCAAAAAATCCTTGCCTGTTTGTGAACAGCAGGATATGGAATCATCTTCTATTTCCTGCTGAAAGCCATAGCATCCACCTCTCTACCTAGATGAGCAACATAACATAACAACTTTTCCAGGCTCTGGACAGGAGTATAGAAGTTACTTTTCCAAATCTGATTCCTTTGGACTACTCAGTGTTGCTTCCCAAGTAAAGTCACATGTTGGGTAACTATCTGAAAGATAAGGCCAACACCCATCAGCAAAAACAGGACAAAGGGTTGCTTCCCAAGTAAAGTCACATGTTGGGTCACCTATGTATACATGCAGGAGAAGGGGTGAGCAGCTGCCTGAAAGATAAGGCCAACACCCATCAGCATAAACAGGACAAAGGACAATAGCTGTGTATAAATTAGCATATATCACTTTATACATGCAAGTGCATGATCAGACCTGTTTTTATTATGTATGCAGAATGAGGAGACCGGTGTGCCTGCTGAGACTTCTAGCCTGGTGTTGCAGATGGGCACCTTCAAGGCTCTTGATCTCCTTCCTTGTTAACTCAGACTTGGACTGGATAGTCCTTAAAATGAGAGATGCCTTCAAAAGGAGGATTGGCCTCTTGGCTTCAAATAAAGGAGGATTTGTGTCCACTCTACCTGCAACTGTGGGCAGAGGGGAAGGAGTGAGGATGGTCAGGCCAAAGGTAGCATGAGAGATAGTCTTGCTCATTCTATCCTGGTAGGAAATTCAAGGTAACTCTTCATTTCTCAGTGGCAAGAGCTGTCAGATGGGAAAGACTTCTCTCTGTCTTTGAGGAGTAAGCAGTGGTGGAGGTAGCCAGACAAGTTCCTGGCAAATGCTGGATGCAGCTACTTGGCCACCATTGATCTATGCCAATATTCTCAGTTTACAATGATAAATAATCAGCTCGGCAAAAATCTTGTGTTTGTATAGGGGGAAGGGGACATTTTATTCCCCAGAGCACTGTATTCATTGACTACTTGTACAAAATATCCATGATTGTTTACCTCTTGTCTAAGACATGCCTTTTTCTATTACAGAAATCATCGCCATCATATCACAAGACCAAGGTAAATCAAGTGCTGTGGGCACTCAGGGAAGTGTTTAATTAAAACAAACCCCTGAAATTTCATGCCTCTGATAAATGAGGCAAAACTGACAGCAGTAGCATCTGACATCAGTTAAATGAGTGACCTTGGAAATATTTTAGAAGTAACATCATGCATATGTTAGTGGGAGGTTTTTTCCCCACCCATCTTAGCAGGTCTGGTTTTTATGAATTATGTAAAAATTTACATCAGTTTTTTCAAACTAGGAGATGTAATACAACTATACAACAGAAACAAGCCCCTTAAGCATTATGCACAGAAAATCAATAGAGGAAGAGAATAAGAGAGGATGATGTAAGAAAAACTTCATGCTTAAAAGAAATGTCTCTATTGAGAGGGCCCTACAGTGAAGACTGGAACACACACTCATCTCAAGAAAGAAAAATGCAACTCCAAGCCTCAAGATGAAACATGAAACAAGTACTCCAGAAGGTGTGTGAGGGCCACCAAATCCAGGAGTGCGATCTCTGATGTTCTCAACAGCACTGCGCTGTATAGAAACAAACTTCATTCCACCTCAGCTACTTTGATCCAGTTCACAATAAATGACTTTTTGGGGACTATAGCTGTTAAAATCTTCCCACTGCCATGGCCATTGGGGATTTTGGGATATGTAGTCCAAAATTTACATTTCCACTGCTTGGAAATAAGGAAAAAGTTACTCCTGTCACCAAAAGTAATATAAAATTGGGTGTAGTCTGGCATATTTCTAAAGCAATCTGAATTCGGCCTCTCCTCTTGGCCGCCTTGCAAGCCCCACTCCCTGAACCTCCTCTTCTCTTCTGTCTATTCGCTGATCCCACAATTCTCCTTCCCATCAACCTCACTTGTGCAGCTGACATGCTCCTGGGAAGCTGTGAGAAGGTACAGATATCTCCCTTCCAATGCAGCAGTGATGAGAATACTCTGGCCATGTTTATTTATTTCATTATTTATTCCTTTAATTTATATACCCCCTCATTAGTGGTGGGGCACTATTCTGAGCAGTTTACAAAAGGAGAACAGAAACCTAAATAAAAATAAAACTACAACAGATTAATACAATTTAGACTAATAACAAATAAAATGGACCTTTCTCTCGTCTCTGCTGCCATGCTAGAGAATGGAAAAATCTGCAACTTAATTTCCTTCTGAAATCAAACTGAACAAACTCCCCTTCTTCCTGATTATGTGATTTGATCATTTTTTGGCAAATCCTTCAAAATCAAACCAAAACAAAATTTTCATGTATCCTCATGAGCCAAATTCAAGGTCACCTATTCCCAGCATGAAGAGAACTATGTGGTGTCCGCTTGCCTTACAAATTTTAAAGATGGAGAGCATCTCAGGAAGAGAAGGAAAGGTAGAGAGAAAGCAATTCTGATTTCAGCACTAGTATAATTCAGTACATAAAGACTCAGACCCAGACTCTCCTCGGTTATTCTCGACTCTTTCCAGCCAGTAACGCCTGATTCTGTGGCCAGGGTGCTTGACCGCTGTCGGGCCACCACCTCCTCCTTGGACCCTTGCCCGGCCTGGCTAATCAAAGCAGCCAGGCCGAAAACAACTGAATGGGCCACAGCAATAATAAATGGGCCTTTCCTGGAGGGCAGGTTCCCGCCTGCCCTCAAGGAGACACTCATCAGGCCCATACGAAAGAAACCTAGTTTGGCGGCGGACGAAATTGGCAACTATAGGCCCGTCGCCAATATTTCTTTCATGAGCAAAGTGGTGGAGAGGGTGGTGGCAGACCAGCTTCAGGCACTCCTGGATGAAACAGATGCC